TTGTGATGGATGCCTGCTGACTTTTGACTTTAATGTGACTGATGCCCAATGACCTTTGGATTTGGTAGTTTCTTGCCTTGTGAAGAACAAAATGACTTCAGAGTTGTTTTCCACTATCTCTTTGTTGTTATGAAGAAACCTTTTCTGTTTTGACTCTTCATTTTTCAGTGGAGAGTCAAGGCTGGAAGTGCCTGATTGTTATGGGATGCCACCCGAAAACAGAGATAAACTTCTGAAATGACGATTCTGCATGAGTGAGGATGGGACAGTTAGAGGGAAACAACAGATCTGGGGCAGGAGAGAGACAAATTCAAGCTAGTGTGACCAAATTTTTATAAATAATTTTAAAACCACGCCTATAGTCTTTTCTGCATTCTCATTTTACTCACTGGTAGGTTCCTGCATCTTTGGGGTTGTTCCCCCCCCCAGTTCCTCATGTGTTTTGCTCCCTCTAGTGGTCAATTGGATATCACACAAATTTATTTCCAGCCTATCTCACTGCAGGGAGCAAAACACGTGTGGAATAGACCCCCCACAAACAGGAACTTACCCTCATTCTTGGCGGTCTGCACCCTTTTGGAAGGGCTATAGGCCACAAGGTGATGTTCCCATTGCCACTCTGTAAATTAATGAACTGTTATATGAAGGTTTAGAATAGCTATGTTGTTGTGATTGTTTAGGAGAAATGTTGGTTTTTATACCCCCCTTTCTCTACCCTAAGGAGTCTCAAAGTGGCTGATACTATCCTTCCCTTCCTTTCCTGATAACAGTCAACTTGTGAGGTAGGTGGGGCCGAGAGAGTTCTGAGAGAACAGTGACTGGCCCAAGGTCACCCAGCTGGCTTCATGTAAAGGAGTAGGGAATCTCAGTTCTCCAGATTAGAGTCCGCCACTCTTAACCACTACACCTGCTGGCCTATTTCATGCAGGCAGTTTGATATTTTATTTGACTATTTATAATCCAGTTTTTCATCTGCAAAGCGGGCCTAAGGCAGTTCACAATAAAATCAGCAATAAAACAGGTAAGGTCAGTAGAACAATCCTTAGAAAGCATCAACAGTAAACCTCTGGCTTGAAACACCAACAATTAATTAACAAATGGCCTAAGAGCACAGTCTCACAGGCCTTTCTAAAGGCTGACAGGGTAGCCAAGCTCTTTACCTCTATGAAGTTTTGGATGAGGTCATTACTGAAAAGGCCCAAATGTTCATAGAATCATAGAGTTGGAAGGGACTCCAGGGTCATCTAGTCCAATCCCCCGCACAATGCAGGAAATTCACAAATACCTCCCACACCACCAGTGACCGCTGTTTCACACCCAGAAGATGACAAAAAACCTTTAGGGTCTCTGGCCAACCTGGGCTGGAGAAAAATTGCTTCCTGACCCCAAAGTGGTGATCGGTATTTCTCTGGGCATGTAAGAAAGGGCCACAAGAACTAAGCACTGTTGAGCAGGCTAAGACTGCTCATACCTCAAGAAGCTTGTGATGAAAGAAATGTAGTTGAAAGACAGGTTTATAGAAGAGTAACTTTCAAAATTACAAAACCCCCCCCCGATCCTGGAGTCTTAAATGGTCTAGTCCAGAGAATTCTACTATGTCAGTCTATTACCTAGGGAATGTACAAAATGGCTTCTTTTATCCAGCTTACAGAAAAAACTTTGAGCAGAACTACTCTGCTGAAATGTTTTCATATACTTCTGTCTCCCTGAGAAAAACTGGACATGTAGATGCCAAACAAAACATCCCCTCAAAACAGGAAAAGTGTAGTGTGCAAAAGACTATCATAATTCTTTGTCGAATTTTATTCAGTTTTACTCTGCACAATTATTATTTTTTTGGCTTTTGTCTCTTGTTAAGTGAAAACATGAAAAACCAAGAATGCATCATGTAAAAACAACAACAACAACAATCAGGCAACAAAACAGTAACAGGACAATAAACGCTATTATAGTTTGCTCTAAACTGTATTTTTAAAAAAATACACAAGAAACTCTGAGCATTGCATAGATTTGAACAGCTGGAATCCAACACACCATCCATGGAGAAATTGAGGAGGAGTCCATTGGGTGTGTATGGATCTTTCTGACCATGTAAAATCTTGAGGAAGTATAAATATTCAGATTCTCATCAGACATTTTTCTTTTAAACGATATGGGTATAGCTTTGGATGTGACAGTAATACTTTTGGGTTAAATCCTGTAGGGGTCATTTCACACACTGGCAAACTGGATTTTGCCACTGACAGGGAAGGATGTCCAATTACAATTCCCCGATGAGCATATCTGCGTGACATGCATTTGCAAACCTGACTTTGGCAGGTCCATTTCCTACATCTTGCAGACTCTAAAGTAGGTTTGCCACTGAATGTACACCCAACAGAGAGATACAGCCAATGACAGCACTTGACAGACAAATCTGCATGATGCACATGGGTGGTGTTCTTTGCCGCTTTACACAGCAATGCATTAGCTAACCCACTTATTTACATGTATACTTTACATTTTAAGGAGGGCATTTAAGATACCTTATGTATTTGAGTCCTTAAAATGGCAGCGTATGAGTTAGTGCCCTTACCTGTATGGCCCAGGCTAGACCAGTCTCATCAGATCTTGGAAGTTAAGCAGGGTCAGCCCTGCTTAGAATTTGGATGGGAGACCACCAAGGAAGTCCAGGGTTACTACGCAGAGGCAGGCAATGGCAGATTACCTCTGTTTGCCTCTTGCCTTGAAAACCCTATGGGGTTGCCATAAGTCAGCTTTGACTTAATGGCACTTTCCACCCCCTACGAAGTGATCTTTAGGACCTAGGGGGTTCCTTTAGGAAACAGCTTTCCTGATTTGTCCAATCTGATCTCTCTGGTAGTCTAATCCAGGGGTGTCGAACTCATTTGTTACGAAGGTTGGATCTGACATAAATGTCACTTTGTCGGGCCGGGCTATGTGTGCCCTAAAACATAATGCCAGGTGCTGGAGATATAAACTGTACAAAGGACAGCAGCTGGTAAGCTCCGAGTTGGTGTATCCTCACTGCAAGGCCTCATGGGCTGGGAGGGGAGGTAGAAAGGAAAACCCATATGGGCAGACTGGAGAGCCAGTGGTACAGCACTGGGCAGACACTCCCATGCTGCTTGACTGCTGCAGACAAGGTTGTTCTGCCATGTTGAAACCATAATCAGAGTGGCTCCACCCACTCCCCCCCCCCAAGCAGTCTCCTGTTCTTGCGGGCTGCCTAAGAGCCCTGGATGGGCCAGTTCTGGCCCCTGGGCCTTATGTTCAACATCCCTGGTCTAGCCTTATTGTTCACTTCAGGCTGTCCCACTCTGCTCAACTTGCTTTATAAATCCCTTCTGTTTAATCCTTACTACCACTTCTGCTTGTTGCAAATTGCACTTCTGTCAAAATCCTTATTTGCCTGCCCAGCTCCCAAACCCTGAAAGAAATGCAGTTATCAACAGCGAGAGTACAGGAAATAGTGCAAGTGCATGCAAGGGAAAAAGAGAGAACAATAAGCTGAGTGGCCATCTTAGTGTTCTCCAGAACACTCACATTGTAACATGCCCTGGTGTTGCTTGTCTCCACAGCTTGTCCCTGCTAGGAGGGCATTTGATTTACTTCAATAAATTATCCATGCAAAGCAAAAGTGCAAATGTTAAAATATTAACAAGATGCAGAGTGCCCAATGAATGATACGTAGCGGGGCTGAAAGCATGATCTTTTCCCAGCACAGGCATTATGCCTCCTGGGACAAACAGAATGCAGGAATGTGGGAAAGGAAGCCTCTGTTAAATTATTGGGTTATCCCGCAACCGTGGCTTGCCAGGAGAGGGTGTACAATCAGAACTGGGAACAAACTTCACATTACACAGGAGATGTGCAAGCAGGGTTACTGACCTCCAGGTGGATCCTGGAATTCTCCTGGAATCACAACTGATCGCCACACTACACAAATCAGTTCCCATAGAGGAAGCGCCAGCTTTGGAGGGCAGACTTTATGGCGCCACTGCCCCACTGAGCTCCCTCCCCAGACTCTGACCTTCCCCGGCACCCCTTCCAGATCTCCAGGAATATCTCAAGCCAGAGTCGACAACCCTCTGTGTGACTGGATACCGGGACATTTTGGTTTTCACAGGTCCCTGCCACACGGGGGAAAAAAGTCGGGCAAAAGTGCGGCTTTTAAAATCCGCACCAAAATAGGCACATGGCGGCGGGATCATACAGATCCCGTGAGCCACGGCGCAATTGCTCCCCGGCATGATCAGATGCCGGGAAAACCAAGGAGACAGCGACGGGAGGCTGCTGAACTGCGCATGTCTGAGCATGCGCAGTTCAGCCAGGAGCTGAGGATGCACCGGCGAAAGGACGCGCTGGCGATCCCACGGCCGGCCTTGATGCGGCCTTGCCAGAAGAACCACCTTGGTAGGTGGTTTATTTTTGCTGCGTGTTTTGGGCGGAAGGGCCGGATCGGGGACAGGTGCGCAACGCTTCCCAGATGTTGCAGTGGGATCATGCCCGTTTGCTGTGCCCCTGATCCATCCCTCTCCCAGCCCAAAACCTCTCGTGTGACCGGGGCCACATTAGAGCAGTTGTGTGAAATCCCACCTACTGTCACTAAAAGGAATGGGATAGTTAATCCTTTCCTCCAATATGATTTTCTCTCCGATACAAACCCCTCAAAGCTGCTCAGCAATAAGGCTGACAACATGTGCCGACAGGTAACCCCCCCCCCCCCCCCCCTGTAACCACAACTTTGAGATGGTCTTCTGAATAGGTCTTCTGAATGCAGTAAGAGTTGGTGAGCTTTCAAGGTGAAGCATTAGAAGTTTGCCACTGATGTGGAAGGAAACAGGGATCCAAAGCAAAACATTCTCAAAGTCAAATTCATGTTAGCAAGATAGAAACAGTAGCAATTCTTAGAAAGTCACTTCCTGAGAGCTTTTGGAACGACAACACTAATGAGTACGCAGATCGCCCAGCAGTTTTTGTTCCCGTGTCCTACTCACCAGTCCTGCACAGCATTGAAGGATTCTTCATTGGTGATGTCATACATTAAAATGAAGCCCATTGCGCCCCGATAGTAGGCTGTAGTAATTGTCCTATATCTCTCCTGACCGGCTGTGTCCTAAGATCAATAAAGCATAGACAAATGAGGCTTGAATTCTTTGCCGTTTGCTTCTCTGTGCTTGTGAAAGAGCAGAGTCAAAAGCGTTCAAAATGTTCGTCTTATTCACAAGTCCGCGAATCCTAGTTGAAAAACCAAACAGTACCTTTTAACATGGTCAAGGCTGTAACTGAGTAGAATTTCAAAGCGCTGCTTTCCTTTAAAAAAGAGATTTTTTGGGGAAGAATTAACTATTTAAGGGAAAATATGGGGCACCCAATTTTGTATCATGCCAATCGAAAATGGGGTGGGCGGGGGCAGAACGAAAGCAGTAGACAAGAGGGGAACATGCTTAAGTATTTTCCTGCCTGCCCTTTCCCCTGTACTACCACTCACCCCAGCCGTTTGCGCATCAGACTGGCATACAGAACTCCAGAGAGAAAAAGCAGCAGGGGAATGGTTAGATTAAAAAGAGACTGCAGGAAAAGGTTCCAGCCCCTCCATTCAGTGTACCGCTTCCCTCGAAAAAACCCTCTTAATGATCGAAAGATGACCGAAAAATCGCTGCTTCTTAAAGTCAGCCTTTCCAATATGACAGATGGAGTATGAAGGTGGGCCTGATTGGTGGATCATAAACACTTGAGGGGTTCCCACAGTGGGAGGCGCCCCTCAAGCTTGGGGCTTGAACAACTGAAAAGCAGTTCCTCAAACTGAACCTGGAAACAATTTGGAAGCCAGTGCAGATGTTTCAGAACAGGTGGAATATAAGCCCGCAGACCTAGCCTCGGTATTGCTCAAAGTCTATAGTGCAGCCTTATGAAGAAGAAGAAGAGATTGGATTTACACCCCACCCTTCACTACCGAAAGATCAAAAGATGACTGAAAAATCACTGCTTCTTAAAGTCAGCCTTACCAATATGAAAGATGGAGTATGAAGGTGGGCCTGATTGGTGGATCATAAACACTTGAGGGGTTCCCACAGTGGGAGGCGCCCCTCAAGCTTGGGGCTTGAACAACTGAAAAGCAGTTCCTCAAACTGAACCTGGAAACAATTTGGAAGCCAGTGCAGGATTCAAACCAGATTCTCCCAGATTAGAGTCCGCGCACTTAACCACTACACCAAACTGGCTCTTATGAAGAAGAACTGAAGATCACCCTACAGGGGGACAACTGAAGGACTGGTGGTTAGCATCCCTAGATTAGGGACTGCCCAAGATTTCAAATTGTGTCCCTGCTGTCTCCTGATTGGATCTTTGGGAGACTTTCTGCTCCTGCTGAGCTTCTTGTCATAGTTCTGACAAGAGCTGTTGTTGAAAAAGAGCAGTTTCTGTCAGAGCTCTCTCAGCCCCACCTACCTCACAGGGTGTCTGTTGTGGGGAGGGGAAGGGAAAGGAGTTTGTAAGCCGCTCTGAAACTCCGAGTGAGGGCAGAGTATAAATCCAATCTCCTCCTCCTCCTTCTTCTAACCCTGCCCTGCTCAGGCTCCAGCCCTGGGCCATATGGTGCCGCCCTGGGCCGTATGGGTAGGGCGGGATATAAATCCCAAAATAAATAAATAAATAAAATTGTCCAGGTCTTTTCCAACCCAGAGCTGGACACCCTACTTATTGGCCACATTCCCACAGCCAGGTCTTTGGGGAGGGGGACGTGCCAGAATGGAGTTCTGGAACCTCTTAGACAAAATTCTTTTAAAAATGTTTGGAAGTTCATGAGTTTTCAGTATACATATTGAAAACTTCATTTCCCTCTTGAGAGTTCTGGCACCTCTTCTCTCTCTCTTTTTTTTTAAAGCCCTGCCCACAGTCATGTTGTGCGCTATATGAATTAAGCAAAATACAGGAAGAACCCACAAGGAATGCTTGTTAATTAAAGCCACAGTAGCCTAGAAGTTCATCATAGAATGAGGGCATCTTCTGATGACACAGTTTCTTGTGAATTCCAAATGTCAACACACAGTGGGAGAATCTGAGACACCTAAATCCATCTTCATATCGCCATAAGATAAGTAATTCCTGTAAGAGCGGAGGAGTGCATTACACTTATAACATTCAACCCTTTCTGCTACATGGCTATCGACAAGAGAGAAATGATGTCTGTGTTAAAATGAATTAATGCCATGGATCACTTATCTCTGAGACAGGCTCAAGTCACTTACAATACTCACTGGTTTAGAGGACCTGAAAAATAGTTTCACAGAAGCTACAGGCCTCTCAGTGACAACTTTTCTTTCTATCCAGCCTCTGGAATTAACCATCAGGAAGGGCTGTTGTCTTCATGCTCTATTCAGAAACGTCTGCTTGGGCTACTGTTGGGCACAGTGAGGCACATGATAGATTTTTGTCTGATCCACCATTTGGGTAGTTTTTAAAATTTGCCCATTACATGGGAAGTGGGTAGGGAGAAATTTGTGCTAAAGTATGCCTGGTTTTTACTGATCGTGCTTGGATGGCATTGACCTGTTTTTTTTAATGTTTGCCTTGTGATGGCTTTGTTTTTTTAATGCATTTGTAAGTCACATTTGTAAGCTGCGGTGGCTCAAATGTTTAAGACGCTGAACTGCAGGCTGTGGAAGGTCAGTAGTTCAGCAGTTCGAGACCCGGGTGCCGCAAGACGGAGTGAGCTCCTGTCTCTAGTTCCAGCTCCTGCCAACCTAGCAGTTCGAAAGCAAGAAATTGCAAGTAGATAAATAGGTACCACTTTGGTAGGAAGGTAACAGTATTTCGTGCACCTTGGTGATTAGTCATGCTGGCCACATGACCACGGAAATGTCTTCAGACAGCACTGGCTCTTCGGCTTTGAAACGGAGATGAGCACCGCAACCCTAGAGTCAGATTCAACTGGCTTTCGAGCAAGGGAACCTTTACCTTTACCTTTAAGTCACCTCAAGAAAGTTTCTGGAGATATATTTCCATATGAAGTTTCTAAATAAATAAATCACTCTATTCTGCAAATCACAGGGCTTGTGGTGTCTATCAGAAGGGTGTGGCTAGAAGAGTTTTTAGTGAGAGTTTTATTGCCGGGGCCTTAGTCTTGGAAGTTAATGGTTGGAATACATTTCTGAGCTATAGCCCAAGTCAAGATATGGGTCACAAGTGACTGGTCAAAGAACATTTCAGTCCATCTGTGGCAGGATGTACCTGCAGACCCTATTCTGTCCTGCCCTCCTAGGGGTTCCCAACTCCCTGGAGGGGCTTTTCTTTCTCTCTAGGGTAGCTTGCCACCACCACCACCACCTGATTGTTGTAGGGATTTCCCTGCTGAGAGGATCAGGACTCCCAGCTTCCCTTCCAAGTTCAGAGGCCTTGCTCAGTGTCTCCCACTGCCCAATGCCTGGTCACCGTGGGGACAGATTACTGCCTTGGGTGCCCTTGGAGGAATAGTCGCTTGCCAACTGCCTGCTTTCCCCCTGACTCCCCCTCTTTAGATAGCGTGTTCAAGATGGCGGAGGTCTATGTGGTATAGAGAAACATCCCAGCATCAAAAGTTATCATTTATTAAAAAGAAAATGTTTACAAGTATACTTTTAGCCCAGCACCAGACTGAGCAAGGAATATAAAAGAAATTGGTGAAAACACAAATCCTCTGTCCCTTTTTTCTATACATGCCCTATCAGCTGTTAAAATATAGGATAGGCTCTTTAGCTTTAAGAAGATCTAGCTCTCTACAAAATTACCATTACCTTGAAGCTTCATTCAGCTCTCCAGGTGAGCACATGATCAAAATGGCTGCCTGCCTGCAGACCTCAGCTCAGAGTTCTCCTAAATGCAGCATCCCAAAGAAAGAGAGTGCCTTTCTCTTGCAAGGAGATTTTATCACATCTGTTTCCCCTCCCACTTGACCCAGTCAGCCCCGGTGAAAGAAATGTTTCCTCCAGCTCCTTCCAGGAGATTATCCCTGAAGCTGCTCTAGCCTACAGTCCTCCAGACTCTCCTCCCTGCCTGAAGAAAGGGGGGAGAAGAAGGGGGAAGCCATTAGCATTTGCATGAAGGTGGGCTGAGGTACAAGCAAAAAAAAAACTGGTAAAAAGCAAAGTGGAGGCTTTGCTCCTTGCCAGCCTTTCAGGTGAAAATGCATTTCTTCACACCATCCATAAAATGCAAATCACAGACTTGCCCGGCCTCAATTAGCCTTGGGACAAAACAAGGGAGAAGAGCAGACCTTTGCTCCTCCATTCAGTTTTGCTGTGCTAAATGGGGTCTTCTTGCTCTGGTATTAGTATTATAAACGAAAAAAAGATGCTTCCATTTCATGGGCAGAGATGAGCAATCTTTGTTCTGACTGTCTGAACCCAAAGAAAAGTCAAATTAAGCAGCACTTTGCAATCCACAGCTCATTCACATTCGCAGTCACAGATTTGAAGAAACATTTATGTTCCTTCCCTTGGTTACTTTATTCCTTTCCTTTACTCAAAGCCATAAAATGTAGCGTGGATACAAATGAATACATGGATGGGTGAACTGAGAACAACAAAATACCTGCATCATCTTCTAAAATTTATCACCTTAGCCCCCTAAACACCACTTGCTCCCTATCCAGAATTCTAGTTATGCTCCAGTGTGCACACAGAACTCCAAAAGGAGAAGTTTCCCCATGTGGTTGAACAGAAGGGCAGCTCTTTACTCATGTTCTTTTGTGAACACAGATTTGTGCCTACCATTGGAATAAATGGGGAAATTTGCAACTGGGGAACTAGTATGCAAGTAAAGAATAAACACAGACCGTAGTCTTGTAGGAGATTCTGAGGAATCACTGGATTGGGGAATTATAGATCTCAAAGTGTTCATTTGTCTCTTGATGCACAGACTCATTAATTGATGTTGACACTTCCCACATCACAAGAACGAGGCAGACTATTTTATCATGTTTCCACTGGACTTTCCAGTCTTGCTCACTTTTTATAAACATGTCAGGTCTACTTGATGCTTGCCTAGCTGAACAACAAATATTACTAAGATGTGGCACTGCATAGTATTGATCATTTGAACAGCGCTAAAACACTGGACATAAATACTTTTTAAAAT